TGGGAGGAGGATGCGGAAGGGAGGGAAATTCGTAGTGATAACGACGAAGTCGGGGGATATGAAGTATTGCGTATTATACGTAGTTGGGTAATCGCGGCACCTCGGGTCGCTGGTTACAGCACAGTGAAATTCCCTGGCGCACAGTCGGTTCTCGGTGAGACAGGGATATTCCCGATATCTCAGCCTAAGGTATCCTTCTCCCCAGTGTTCTAAGTATTCTGGATCCCACGAATTCTCCCAGTCCTCGACGTACGGCATGTTGTCATCTCGGTGTACGTGCTTCGAGTGATAAGGGAATTTCCGGGTTTGGGGGCGGAAATTCCTCTCGGCCCAAATCCTTGCAAGAAGGGAGAATTTCCCGCGTATTCTGATATCGGAAGTGCCAAGTTCGTAAGTGATCACGAATCGCCCGTGTGTGGACACGTGTAGGCCGCGCTGGTCAGATCGCGCTTACATGTGCACACACGAGATGTTCGGTCGTGCACGGGCTGATTTTCGTGCAACCGTGGGCCGCCCTATACGCAAAATTGCCTAGTGGCGTAAACAATCATCCAATCATCTAATCATTCAGTGATCCCATGGTCAACAATTATTCCCGTTTATGCAAAGTGGCACTGCATCATACTTTCGACATCGCACAATATCAACTCTTGCCATTCATCACGAGCTAAGATGAGCAAAAGGAGAAACGACTAGCACATCATTCAACCATGCAGAACTCATCCATTCGCCATACATGAGAAAGAGTAAGTCAGAATCGAGAAAAAGCGCCAATCAAGGCGAAAACAAGGAGAGATGCCGAATCGAAAAATAAGGGCGGATCACCCGTAGCCGCAATCAAAACTTATATACAAAAACAAAGAAAAAGACAAAGAAAATCGCAACTCCACGCCCATCCACCTCAACTCTCTCTCTCTCTCTCTCTCTCTCTCTCTCTCTCTCTCTCTCTCTCTCTCTCTCTCCCCCCGATGCGGACAGTCCGTCATCACGCACCAACCCACGAAGTCGTCACCCCGCTTGGTCCTCCTGCACCCGTCAGGTTCGCCCGCGTGCTACAGTCCGTCGTAGCCCCACGCTTCAACCCCGCGCATTCGGCACCAGCTCGTCGGGTCGCCCGACTCCCAGTCTCCCACTTTAACTCACCTCTTACTTCACTCGTGAGACGACCCTCACTGATGGCGCTACCCCGAGCTTCCAGCAACTCTTTAAGAGAGCTATCTAATCACGCAGCCGAAATTTATAGCGTGCATGTATGCGCAAAGAGCACGGAGTTGCAAGGACTTAGAAAGGAGATCAGGGAAGGGATTGCCTACGTTCTGCATGACCAGACCGCGGTGTGGGGGACGTAGCAACTCTCCATGCATCGATCCGATCATGCAGCCCGCGGGCCAACTGGACACATCAAGGAAGAGAGGGAGAGCGGGAAAGACGAAGCTCAAGAAGAAAGAGACAGTTACAAGGGCGCCCGCCCAAAATTTACGGTTACACACAAGATTAAGGGCGCCGGCTAATCGGAGCTCCGTTGCAGCCTCAAAAAGAGTCATGCGAGCAAAAAGCACCGGCGAAAAGAAATTCCGAATTCCTAAATTCCTAAATTCCTAAATTCCTAAATTCCTATCTAATGCAAAAATGCAAAAAGAAATAAAGCACAAGTCCGAAGAGAAAGTCCGAAATTCCGAGAGCCACCGAGGGCTCGACAAGATTCGAAAAAGAATTTCAAAAAGAGAGAAGCAAACTCCCGTGCGATCACCGCGCCAAAAACCCGACAGTAAAACAAAAAGAAGCGACATCAATCATTATTAATCGCGCCTTTGTCGGCGCGCCAGCCACTCAACCGACCATCCTGGGACTTGCCCAGCCCTGAACCGAGCCATCCGAAAAGAAGCGACGTAAAAATACGAAGAAGCGATTTTCCCGTCGATCCCGATCTCCCGTAATTGGCCCAACCTTCCCAGCTAAGGATCCATCATCGTCATCACGCAGAAAATCGCGCAGAGACGGAAAGTGGCCCGTCACAAGGTGATGCTCCCCACCAATAGATGGAGCCTCTCCCCAGGTTCTAGCGGTGTCTGCTCTTACTATCAGCACCACTAACACTGGTGGGGGCGTTTTTTCAACAAAAAAAAAAAGGTCAATCTTTATCTGCTGAAATACAGGATGCTTGAAGTTCAAAAAAAGCTAAAAAAACAAGGATTAATTTTGCTTTAAACCACACGTACTTCCTTAAGTACTGCCCGTGCACAAGCCACAATTTTAGGAAAAGTGTGGGTCACTACAGGACTGCCCAAATTCATCCGACTAGAAATGTTTCTACTCCATTTTTTTTCCGCAGCCGATAGCTGGGCAAAGTACTGGTGGTTTAAGGCACCAGTACACCATACATAGGCCCGCAGGTCACGGTGTCAGCGTGGAACCCACAGCACTTCAGAGGCCGCAGATTTTTTTTTTCAACGGCGCCCCATGCCGCGCAGCCCCGCCAGGTTTTGCTCGTGGCGACAAAAACTTTCTGCAGGGCTGGAGTCGTGTAATCGTTTGTTTGAAGCGATGTTCTTTACTCTCAATTTCACCTTTGACTACCTACCTACCACTACTCCTAAGCCTATACAGGGGACGCCTGCAAGCATAGCTACCTCTCACAATCACGGGGATGCATGTTGTCCCCCGCCCTAATCAGTGGTGGTCAGTGAGTGGGGTGGGCCAGTTGGGGGGGGGGGGGCGCGGCTAGCGCAAACACCGAGCATTCTGCTAGTAGGTGCGCCTCCCATCTACCTCCCCGAACCCCATCGAGTAACATCAGTGTCTACGGCCAGCACTCTGCCACACACCACAACACAACCCCCCCCACCACACACACACACACATGCACACCCTTGATGGCCAAGGACCGTATTATGGCCAGCACTCTGTCACACACCACAACACAACCACCCCGCAACACACTCACACATGCACACCCTTGATGGCCAAGGACCCTACCAATACGGTAATACCGACCGGGGGCAGCAAGCCAACTATCTCAGTTGATTGCCACTGAGTGTGCCAAGGTGGTCAGTGGCGATCGAACCCACGACCTCCTGCATGCCACTTGCGTGCCTAACCAATTGAGCTTTGGCCGCTCGCGCAATTTCCCGAGTTAGTTTGTACTGTAACCATTGACTTTCAATTCAGCTGAGTCAGACCTTGTTGTCATTTTGAGTCTTCTTTCTCAATCATTCTTGTTCCACACATGTTGTCATTGTGGGAGGTCCGTGGTTGGGGATGGGACTGACCAGGAGTGCCTCTCCCAGCCCCCGTTGGCTACGGCATTCATCTGAGGGATGCCGGGCCCGTTTCAGTGTTTCCCGGTTTTATAATGCAAAGTCGTTAAAAAAAAAAAAAAGAGCAAAAAAAAAAAAACAACTCTTACGGTAACCTGCTTAGAGGTGGACCCCACACTGTCAGGGGAAAAACTCAAAAAAAACGCCCCGATGGATGTCCTCTCGGACCCCTCAGGCAGTGGAAGAATGCCTGCAAGTCGTTTTTTTTTCCGGAATCCAGACCCCACCAGGCGGAAAAGAGTGGTGTGGAAAAGGGACGAAGGACTTTCCATGTCCAATTCTGGCTGGAAAGTGCCCACATTCCGCAAATCCGCCGGAAATTTGTGGCAAACGCAGGGGGTAGGCGGGGGGCATCCCCGTGTGTTTTCCGAAGTTGGAAGACCACGCAGGTCCACATGCATTGATGTCCGCCAGGCATGGCCCATAGGAGGCTCTGGCAGGACGACCACCCCGCAGGTCAAAACCTGCCCCGCTCAAAGTCGGACGATGGACAAAACGGCGGAATCGGTCCAAATCCTGGAAAAAAACACCGCGAGATTGCTGAAAAAGTGGCGGTGCGGTGGGGTCCCATTTTTTTTCCGGAAAAAAAGTTTCCATGCTCTCGGCCTCGGATTTCCTGCGACTTGCGTTTTCCCAGCCTTTTCCCTGTGGGGTCCACCCCTAAGGCTCTTTTTCTGAGTTTTCCCTTTCTTTTCCTTTCTTTCTTCGTTTTTTTAACCACCAGTACTTGGCCCAGCTATCGGCCGCGGGCCTTCCCGTATATGCACCGCAGCCTTAGGTAGGTCGTCCAAGGGAAGGCCGGGTCGCTGCTGAATGGCCGGGCCCCGGTTCACTCAGAAAGACACCACAATGAAAGAACAAAGAAAGAAAAAAAAAAAAATCAAATACACAAAAATTAAAAAGAAAGAAAACGAAATGTAAAAAACAAAGTCATGCGAGAGAGGGAGAGAGAGAGAGAGAGAGAGAGAGAGAGAGAGAGGGGGG